TGGCATGGAATCATGCTTGTTTGGGAAGCCGTTACTTAGCAACGACTGCTGTATAGATGCTTCTTTCGCGGTTTTTGGGTATCAACGGATCTGTATGCCATATTGCTCGCTCCATAAGGCCTTTCGTCCCGAATAGTTTACATCCATGCTGCTATTTATATTGCGGGGGGGGGGGTTGTGCTTGTCATGTCTGCGATAGGTCCGCCTTCTTTCCCATGGCTTATTTCTCACGGCGATTACTCCCCAACAACTCCCTTAAGGCCTTTTGTCCCGAGTCATTCCATGATAAGGCGCGAGTCTCTCCAGGTGTATCACCATCATCCTCGATCTAGAGTTCCGCTTTATACGTCTGACTCTCATTTCCGAGGAGACCGACTCCTACACAATATCCGGCCACTCACTTCTCGTAGTCCAGTCCAAGACCCGACTATTCACTTTTCGATCTCCAACTCTACAGTCTTCGTGAAAATCCAACCGGATGTCCGCTCTCTGATGTAGCTGCTACCTTGTATCTCCATCCGTCATTCCCTTCTTGAATTCTGGGAAGAACCGTCGTCTCCTCTCGGGCGTCCGTATTTTAGGGGCCCATCTTGCAGCATTGTCCACGGTTATCCCTGATGATCATATCCTTTGCACGGTGCAGGAATGATACGGCGGTTCAACCGTCCACGGGCTACGTCCAATATCTGCCGGGAGCCTGGGTCGATTTCTTATGTTGTCAGCGGTGCCCTACATCGAGACCGGTCCCTATGTCGACCCTTCAGTGCCCCGATAGACTCCAATTCGGCCTCTTCCTTAGGAACTTCCTGTTGCTCCGCCTCAGACCCTACTTCTGGATTTGCCTCCAAATCGGTGGCCTCCGTCGTGGCCTCTCGGCCGGCATTTATTTCTTCTTTCGGATTGAAATTCGGTTTTTTTTGCATGACCTCTGTCCTGGTTTTGTTGATATCCATCCAGGAGAAGAGCTCACCTTGAAGAATCTCAAACATCCCCCTATTGGCTCTTATTCCAGCCTTCAATTCCCTTAGATTTGCGTCAATTCTTTCTTACACGGCCATCATGTCTTCTATCCAGGCATCCATCTTCTCTCAGTTCAACTGAATTGGGTCCAATCCAGTCCAGTTTATCTGGTCAATACATTCCCAATTCTGATACCATCAGTCAGATAATGGAGTGAATTTATACGGGGTTTGGATTAGTACTTGGATTTATTGAACTCTAACAGATCCGTAGAAGAATTAGATACAGACGAGAGAGGACCATATATTTTACAAAGTGAGGTGGAAAAAGCTATCAAGGAAATGAGGAAGGGAAAGGCTACAGGAGATGATGATGTACCTGGAGATGTGCTCAAGTTACTGGGAGAAGGTGGTTTGAAAACACTGACAAAACTAATGAACACCATATATGAAAGTGGAGAGTGGCCCAAGGACTTTACAGAAGTTACAATGATTGCCTTAAAGAAAAAGACAAAAGCTACAAAATGCAGCGACCATCGCAC